TTATTTCTTATGTCTTGAGCTGTGTTCAGGATGGGCATGCTCATTTTGCAGCTAGGTTTTAAGAAAGCGAGGTACTTTTATATTTACTTAGTTCACTTACTAGCCTGATGGCTGATATTGGGGTCGCCTTTGCTCCCCCTTCCTCAGATTGGTCTAATGACAGTGGCTCTGCGTCAGGGCATGCGCTCACTGAGACCGAGTGGCTTTCTCATATTGAGATGACATCAATACTAAAGGGTAGAGTTGGGTTATGACGCGTTTAGCATGAGCGATTTATGGTAGAGGTTGGAGGACCAGAATAAAAGGAAGATACATTGTTTCCAGTCATCAGTCTACCAATTTTCTTAGTTGCTTTGGTTTTCTCCAGCAAGGTACAATGTTATAGATTAATGTTCTGTGTTGGCCAGATAATTACATCAGACCAGTGTTTCTTAACCCTGGGTAGGTATCAGTCACTTGGGCAGCTTGTGTAGCTTAGACAAATAAAGATGCGTGGGAATCACTCTGGACTGGGCTTCCCAAGGGTTCATGTGCAAACGCACCGCTTGATTCAGCAAGTCCGGGCTGGAGCCTGATGTTCTGTGATTCTAACAAGCATTCCTGGTCCCCAGACCACACTTTGAATAGCAAGGCCTAGGGTCAGATTCAGTAGGTATGAGGCAGGAATTGGGCATCTTTAATTTTTAAACGTGTCTTCAGGTGATTCTCATATGTGCAGTGGGGTTGAGACCCACAGCCCATTGGTGGCTGATTCATAGTGAATTTCTGGGGGTATCTGCACACCCAGCTCCCTCCTGGTTTTCCTCTTTTTCTCTGGTCCCTCCTTTCTGGTATCCTCGGGGGGGCTTCCCCTCCACCTATTTAGTGTTAAAGTTCTCCAGGTTTAAGTCCTCTGCTTCTACTTACTCTGTCCTGTCTCTCTAGGCGACAGTTCCTGTTTCCATAGCCTTGGTTTTGCACCATAGCTCCTCATCTTCCAACTCTAAATTTCTGTTCCGGCTGTTCCTTCTGAATGTCATATCTGGGTAGTCAACCCTACGAACACCCGTGTCTTGCAGATGATGACAGATGCTCTCCCGGCCCCGCCCCGCCCCGTCCACAGTGGTCCTCACGGCAGCCCCGTCTACCCCAGTTGCTCTAATCATCTTTAACGGCTCCCTCTCGCACCATCTACTCCAACCCTCTGGCTTCTCGAATCTGCCTGTTTCTCTCCAGCTCTGAGCTCTGCCTCCATCAAGCCCACTGGACCACTGTCCCTGCCGGCCAGCAGCCTCTTCTGTTCATCCATCCTGGGCTCCCGGTTCCACCCTGCCCTGTTGCCATAGTGATGTTTTACACGGAGCCTCTCCCCCGCATGCACACAGAGGGCTGAAATCCTTCAAAACTTCCCTTTCCCCTTAGAACAAAGTGACAGAAGAGAGGAGGCCGGCAGATCCACGGCAGGAGAGAGGCGGGTTTGGGTGGGAGTGAGGGGGTGGAAAGGAGCGAGATCAGACATCAGGCCACGCGGGGCTTCCAGTTGTTCATTCACTTACTTGGGTCTCCCTGGGACTCGGGGTCCAGAGACTGTGTGCTTGCTTCGTCTTTTGCAACAAACCCTGGAAAGAGCAGTAAACTCTTGGTGACTTGGAAGGACAGGAAACATCTGGCCTTACCCCAGGGAAGGGGACAGGAGGGGTACTCACACCTGCTCAGGGGGCTGGCCTATCGCTAACTGCTCTTCTCTGCATCACCCCATCTCACATCTTAAGAGACACGAATAAATTAATATTTCCTGACAGCCTCCTAGAGGCATGGCGCCCTGCCGGTGCTCACGGGGATTTGAAGTCAGATGCGAGCTCTGTCCCCGGCTGCCTGGTAACTTTCGCTAGTCGAGCCTTCGTTTCTTTATCTGAAATCATTAAGTGCTTTGCCAGGATACTTTATCCCTCTGTAAAATTCTGAAAACCTCCAGGTCAGGGCACATGCCTCGCTCATCACGTGAACCTTCCCTGTGCCCACCACCTGCGGGCCCTCAGCCAGCATTTGGTGATTGAGTCAAACAAAGATGACCCGAGGAGGACCATCTAACAGGGCGGGGCGTTGACTGGAGGGGGAGAGAAGATACAAGCTGCTCCAACAAGTAAGAGGGTCTGAAAACTGCACCCCCTCAGAGGTGTGAACCAGTTTTGTGCTTTGAGAGGCCGTGTGAGCTGAATTTCAGTCTCGGGTTTTTTAGAGGCCAAACGTTACATGGGAGCCGAGATCACAGATATATCCTGTAGGGAATGAGAGACAACCCATGAGCACCCTTGTAGGCTTGGTCAGACCATGAGCCTCACAGGCGAGGGGAGCTTGCAACACCTGAAGTGAGCCTGCCTGCTGCAGGATGCTCAGACCCCCCCCCCCC